GTGTGGCTCTAATTCCTCACTTCACCATCTGTATTGCAGTTTCCTGTTTCCAAAGTGAGCGTACGCATGGGTCAGAGCTGGCGTGAGGCACAGCACATTTTCATGTCAAGTTTGGATTTTATAAATCACAACCTTGGTGTACAAAGTGGCGTACGCAAGTTTCTGGGCTCAAATTGTGCGTACGCCAGTTTTATAAATCTGACCCCTGGGCTCAAATTGTGCGTACGCCAGTTTTATAAATCCGACCCCAGGAGACTGAGCATGAGTAAACTAGGTTCTAGTGTCGCCCACCACCACGTGGTTTCACYACACTTATAGAGGGTCTCACCTCTTCATAAAAAATAAATGAAGTCTACCTGCTGTGACGGCTTTGTGAAATCATTCCCTCTCCACCGTGATGTCTTGCTTAGGGGGCGCAGCCAACAAGGAGGCAAAGAATCTGCATTTCTCCCACCTTAAAGCCATCTGCTCTCAACAAATGCTTCCAAATATGCTTCTTTTTCCTGTGAATTAAGCAGTCAGCGCAGATATTGTGGTCTTCCTGTAAAACAAAAAGAACATCTGTAACTGCAAGGGATTTTTCAAGGAATACAAATTCACTCTACTTTCTACACTCTGCAAGRTTGTGCTTTTACTGCAGCTTGGAAGTTAAAACTGGGGGAAAAAAACCAGGAGCTCATTACAGAACCAGTGAGGCAGGGCTTAATGTTGTTTTGACTGAATTGTAGTTATCAGTGGGCTACTGTGATGAGGCTCAATTAGAGCAGCATGCAATGAGCTGAGCAAAGGTAATCGCTGGGCGGAGAGCAAACTAAACGTGGAGACACGGATATTCACACGGAACAGAAGAAAAGCCAGGCATTCACRAAAGAACCTAGAGTCGTGGAGAGCTGCTAATAAGCCAACATAATTCACACTTGGCCTCCCCCCCCCACAGAGCGCTCGGTCCAGGGCAGAGAGGAGGGCGTGCGAGGGGTGCACGTTTGCACCAACACATTCCACGACTCAGCGTGTCAGAGCCAGGAGCGGTGGATTAAGAGTTTTGCTTGGAAAGGCAGGCGAAGAAAAAGTATTTTCTGTTCTATTTTAGTCCAGAATAAATGTGTTTTTTTTTGTTTGTTTTTTTTAGCAAAAGACAGGTCCATTCAAAAGTGTTTGATGAGCCAAGACTTTACACCTTTCCCTGACAGTATTATACAGGACAATAAAAAAACCAATGTGGGTATATTAAAAAATGGTTTCCTTTTGGTAAAATGCATTTACTAAATAATTTATAAATACTTTGCAACTAAATAATTACTGATGATCTGAAGAGGCCRTGCTGATAAACTTATGCGGACCAAACCAAACTTCTTACTAATGCTGGCAGATAAAACATTAACAAGAGGACTTATTCACATCCCACTCTGAGCGTTTCAAAGTTTGACCAAAATTGGCCAGAGTTGTAAAGTAACTAAGTACAAATACTTTGTTACTGTACTTAAGTAGAATTTCTGCGTATCTGTACTTTACTTGAGTAACTATTTTTCAGCCTACATTTTTCTTCTTCTTACATTTTCACACAATTATCTATACTTTCTACTCCTTACATTTTTAAAAGACAAGAAGTAGAAAGTCTTTACTTTTATTTCATTTTTGCTTGTTTTCATTCCAGCGTGTTATAGTAAAAAATAAATACTCGCCATATAAATTGTACCTCTTACAGTAAACTTAACTGTGGTTGAATGTGAAGTATAAATATATAAAATTCTGATACCGTATTAGTTTGTACACAAACAAATCATGTCACACTCCAGCAGGACATAATCATTAAAGTAAAAGGACTGTACTTAAGAAGTATTTGTATTTCATGAATTATATTATTGCATTTAACCGCAGACCTCAGACAGATTTTCATTTTGTGGAAAAGGTTTGTGCAGCTTTGATATATGTATATAAATTGAAACAGCTGGACTAGTGCATCCTAAATTTAACATCCATTCATTCTTTTAATACAACAGTCATTTCTGCAGTTTTTGGGGAGGTCACCTCCTAATTCAGGGGTCTGCAACCTTTACGAACAAAAGAGCCATTTGCGCTCCTTGTCTCACTAATAAAATGTGTTTGGAGCCACAAAACAAGCTACAACTG